TTCTCACCAATATTTGGTATAGGCAGTCTTTTGGCCATTCGAACAGGAGTGCAATGATATCTCATTTTGATTTAATTTACTAAATTTCCTAATGACTAATTGGGTTAAACATCTTTTCATGTGCTTTCATGTGCTTTTCTGACATTTATATATTTTCTTTGGGGAAATGTTTGCACAAATCTTCTGACCATTTCTAAACTGAGTTGTTTCCTTATTAGTGATTTTTGAGATTTATTTACTCTAAAGAGAAATCCTTTATCAGATAAATGCTCTATTTAAAAAGATTCTCTCTCAGGCTGTGGCTTGTCTTTTTACTCTCTTAACTATCTTTAAAAAGGCAGAAGGTTTTAATTTTGATTAAATCCAATTTCTTTTATGGATTGTGCTTTGGTGTTATATCTAAGAAATCTTTGCTTTGCTCAAGGTCACAAAGCTTTCTCTATTTTCTTTTTAGAAGTTTAATAGTTTTACATTTTACAGTTTAGGTCTTTGATCCATTTCCAGCTAATTTCTGTATGTGATGCAAGACACGGATCACAATTCATTTTTTTTTTTTTTTTGCACATGGGTATCTAATTGTTCCAGTATCATTTATTGAACAGACTCTCCTTTTTCCACTGATCTGACTTTGCACTCTTCTCAAACACCAGTTATCTATATACACATGAGTATATTTCGGATTCTCTACTCTGTTCCACTGATCTATATGCCTGTCTTTATGCCGATACCTCACATTGTCTTGAGTACCGTAGCTTTAGAATAAGCTTTGAAAGCAGGGAGTGTCAGTCCTCCAACTTTGGTTTTCTTTTAAAATAGTTTTGGCTATTTAAATTCTTTGCATTTTTATTGGTCCATTTCTACAAAAAAAGCTTGCTGAATTTTTGGTTGGTGTTGAATCAACATATTTAGCAAGCACTAATACTTTCACAACATTAAGTCTTCTAGTCCACAAATACAGTGTATGTCTTCCTTTACTTAGGTCTCCTTTAATTTCCCTCATGAATGTTTTGCAGTGTATATAACTTGTATAGGGCACAGGTCTTTCACATCTTTTGTCATAGTTATCCTTAAATATTTAATATATTTTGATGCTAGTGTAAATAATATTACTTTTTGAATTTCAATTGGATTGTTTGTTGGTAATATATACAACTGATTTTTAAATTTTGATCTTAAACCCTGAAACCTTGATAAAACTTACTCATTAATTCTACTAGTTTTGCTGAGGATACCATAGAGTTTTCTACATAGATGCTCAGTATAAAGACAGTATTATTTACTCCCCTATAAATCTAGAGGCATTTTATTTCTTTTTCTTGCCATATTACACTGGTTAGAACCTCTGGTACAATACTGAATAGAAGTGTGGAGAGCAGACATTCTTGCAAAGACATGCTAAAAACCAAGCTCATCCTTCTGTTTATCTCCATTAAAGAAAAAATTTCAGTAGCTACTGGAAGAACAAAATATAAATGGATGATGAGATGCGGGGAAATAGTCAAGCAGTATCTTTAAGTGTTACAGAAAGAAAAAATTAGCCACCCACTGAGCATAACAAAATAGTGGAAAAGTTGATAATAGACATTATCTGATGAGACCATGTAGTCAGAACTTAACTGAACAGAGCAGGAAAAGTCCTTCATTTAATGGACTGTTCCAACACTGTATTTTTTTTTTTTTTTTTAAAGCCTGGCCAAACAGTGTTCTCATAAGCATTTAATTAGCACTTACTAAGCTATTCTAACACTGAGGGACCAAAAGTAAATTTGCAACTTTTATAAGAAATACTTAAAATATTTCATGCAAATTTTAAAGATAGTATTTAGATGAGAAATTCAGCAATTTCATAAACAATGAGAAATCCCAAAGTGAAAACCATTCTCTCAATGAAATCTTCACTCATCTATTAATTATGAAGTGTAATGAGGACTTTTCACTACTTATCTTAGTTAATTTCTCCATAGTGCTTTAAAATAATGACTACTTCTACAGTCTTTGATGCTTTTCCTGTCCACTGGCTCCCACAGCATTAGTCAATCTTGGCTCTCCTGCTGATTTTTAGATTACTTCTCCTTGATCTCCTTCCTTGATCCCAGGGCTCTGTCTTTAGCTATCCTTTTTGTGACTTACTTCATTAACATATTTAAAGAGTTAAAGCTCTATTTACTTGATGGGGACTCTCAAATTTATATCCCAATCCATGATCCCCTTTATCTGATGACACCTGGGAGTCATGGATGACACAGTCCTTTCTCTCAACCCTACTCATCTAATAACTAACTAAATCCTGGGCTTTATGCTGAAATAAGTCCTTTTTTTCTCCAAGCCCCACTGATATAATCAGGCTTTGCTGTTGTTTGCCTAGACCCAAAGTTGACCAACTTTTGCAAAAGACCCTGTAGTAAATATTTTAGGCTTCTTATGTTAACTTTATAAGAAAATGTCATGAGGCAGGCCTGAAGGAACAGTGCTACATACATTGGAGGCAGGACAATATGGACACTGACTAGGAGGGAGCGGTGTCCTTTCAGATAAAAGGTGGTGGTGGCATGAACTAGAGGCAGTGGGACTAACAGCACTGGCATAGACTGGGACAACAGCAAGCACACAGAACTGACGTAATATGAAGTTTCCCTGGTTCCTGGCTTAGGCACCTAACAGGCAGTGGTCCCATTTACTAAGATAGGAGATATAAACAGAAGTCCGGGAGTGAGTCAGGGAGGAGGGCATGAGCAACTCTGATTTTAAAATGCTGAACTTCAGGGGCCTGTAAGACCTCTAAGTGAAGTATCTAATCAATAGCTTAACATGCATGTTTAAGCAGAGGAATGATGATGATCATGTTGACAGTGGTAACATTTACTGAGCTTTTATTATAGGTCAGGTAATGTTTTAAGCATTTTACACAAATTAACTACTAATTTCATCCTTCCAATAACCTTAGAAGGTGGGCACTATTATTATCCCTATTTTATAGAAGATGAAATGAACACACAGAGAGGTTCTATAACTTGCCTGAGAAGATAAACTGGTAGTTGGTAGAGCTGGGATTAGTAATTCATTCCCTGAGTCTTGGGCCCATGCTTTAAACATTAGGCTTCACTGCTTCCCCTGACATGTATTTGGGACTTGCATATAATTTCGAGGGTTGTTGAAGACACAGGAATGAAAGAAGGTACAGAATGAAAGAAAAGGATGAGGGCTTGGGAAAACTTTCAAAGGATGAGCAGAGAGAGGGCACAGCACAGGGGACTGAGAGGGAGCAGTTAGAAGTGGGAGAGAATTCAGCAAGGTAAGTTTCAAGGAAGCCAAGACAAAGTGTTTCAAGGAGAAGGGACCATCTGTGATTAAGGCTGCAGGGAAAACAGGATAAAGTTGACCAGTGGTTTTGCTGTGAGTAGCTTTAGCTGTCAGAGTGGGATTTGAACCAGATGGGAGTAATTTAAGGTGTATAAAAAATGGAGACAATGAACATAGAATGTAGATCACACTAAAAAACTTTGGTTGTTAAAGGGAAGAGAGGTAATTGGAGGCTTTAGCATGTATAAAGTTGATGAGTTAGATCCAGAAAAATGGAGAGGAGAAAGATAAAAATTGCTGAAGAGAAAGTCCTGAGGAAATGGAAATACATTGTGTAGTTATGAGTGGAGGCTCTGTAATTAAAATGTTTAGATTCAAATCCAGACTGCTACTTATTAGTTGCTAACCTTGGAAAAGTTATTAATCTCTCGAAGCACCAATTTCTTCACCTGCAAAATGGGCATAATACTACTATCTCCTTCATAGATATAAGGCTTAAATAAGACAATGCATGGGAAAAGCTGGAATATAGTAAGTGCTTAGAAAACATTAGCTATTATTACAATGGGATCTGGACCACAGGTAGAGGGGCTGCTCTTCATTAAGAAGAAACACATTTTTTATGACAGAAAAGGAGGCAATGATAGGAACTGATGGCAGGTAAGTGTGGGGTGGGAGGGAGAAGACAGGCAGCTTTTTACTGATGTTTTCAATGTTCTTGGTTAAGAACAAGACCGGGCCAACCACTGGAATGAGGAGCTGCTAGTAGGACAAGGCTTGAGGAGAACAGAGAGCCTCGCTGGGACATTGTCCAGCAAAATACCAGGGGCCCCTTAGCAGTGAAAGCTCCATAAGTCTGCTTAGAAGCCCAAAATCACATGGATCTAAGACTTCTCCATCCGTGCCCAGCAACCCAGATACAGGAGTGAAGAAAGCAGAGTGATGAAATTATGATCAGGTTTTGATGGGCAAGTGTGATGAAAGAGTAAGAGATCGTAAGTTATTTTAGGCATTAACAGCAGTGACTGAAGTGATAGAACGTGGTTTTAGGCTATATAGGAAAGGAAATTAAGACCAAAAAAAAAAAAAAAGAGAGATGATATTTTCAGAAAAAGCAAAAGGACCAAAGGAGTGCATGTTTTGATGAAGTCAAAATGTAGGATTAGATATTAGGGATATTAAAAGAGCAAGATAGCTATATTCTAGCTCTCACAAATCTTGCAGGCTAGCCTAAGGTAGAAAATTAAACAAGTAATTAGAATTAAAAACATCACAATGATGGAGACTAAAATCTTAAGGGGGTACAATGCAAGAGTACCTACTGGTTGCAGAATTGGTCAGAGAAGGTTTTCTATGGAAAGTAATTGTTAAACAGAGATCTGAAGGACAAACAGAAGTTAGCCACGAGCAGAGGAAGTAAAGTATATTCTGTATTAAGAGCATGAGCAAAGCCCAAACAAACACAGAGCATGAAGAGGCAAGGACCGAGAGGCTTATAAGAGTTGCCTACAAAGATACTGGAGTTTACATGGGACCAAAACATTAGGATCACAACTCATTATCACTTAAAAGGAACAGTAAACAAAGAAATCAGCAGGCACAGTGCTGACAGTAAGAATCAAGATCTTGATATATAGCTTAATATGCTGGCATGCAATGCACTTAAATTCAAGATTTAGCTAAAAAGAAACACACTGTACCTTTGAACGAAATGTTGGATGAACGAAATAAACAGCCTTCAAATTCCTCTTGTATCTGATTCGAAATAAAAACAAGGGTCAGTATGTCATGCTATGGACAATTAACTCTTTGCTAGAGTACAGAAATATATTCACAAAGAAAAAAATTTAAAAATTGCTCTAGTTCACTTATTGAATTTTAGGTGAAATGTCAAAAAATTATTTGTTTTATAGAAGATATTATTTCTCTTGGCTGTGACAGAGCCACCTACAGATAGAACAAAGTAAATTCATATTTAACAAACATTGTGTACCATTTTTTTATATTGCACTAGAATCTCTGGGACCAGGTTATGAATTAACACACTCATGGGTCACTGGGTCAAATGAAATAATATTTATAAACGTATTTTGAGTAAGAGTAACACATCTTATTAATAGAAGGTGGTATTTTTGCTATTTTATATACAAAGATTGGTAATGATCCCAACTCTTTTTCAAGATGTTTAAAAGCAGGACAAAGTTTACATATGAATTAACTTAGATGCAAAATACTCTGGAGTTAAAGAAGGCCACCTCATATTAAAATATCTTATCTATATATGATAAAATTCTATGTTATATGAAATATGTTTCTGCAGAATATGCAGCAATGTTTGTTTACTGATTAATTTTAGGAAAGAAAGAAGCTCTCTCCCCTCTTCATAATTTGCAAAAATAACTAACTTGACATCAACAACATCATAGAGTTTCTTCAGGAAGTCAGAGTCCAGGTGATTGTATTCGCTGGTCAGTGTGTGAAAATATACTAATACATATTCCTTCACAGCAATGTGATCCATTACATGGATAAAATATAAGAGAGCCTAGAAAAAAAAGAGAAGTAAAAGTAAGATTATCTTGCACAGTGGTCTATTTCACAGAAGCCAAGAGCGAGGCAAAACCCAGAAGATTAGTCTAATCGATGCCCCTGGCACTGCAGATGGACATCTCAGACTAATGAGTAGTATCAATTTTCTTTAAAAGAGCTTCAGGAAAGTGAACGATGCCAGTGTATAGTAATTCTCAGAAATGCTACAGTAGGATCCCTTTTTGCCTTATTCTAAGTGGTGGGGGAAAACAATTAGTCTCTGTCCTCTCAAAAAACTCTTCATATACTCAAAAGAGTTCTTCAGTCAGCTGCCAGGTTTTCCCTCTCTAGGATAACGATATCAATATCATTAGAAGTACAATTTGTAGACTTCTGAACTTTCTTGAGGTTTCTGCTTGAACTCAATGAAAATCTTTGCAGTCTCTACTGGGATACAGACTTAGGGCTCTCACGTAACCAAGAATTACTATACGAGGACATCACGAGTGATGCCTCCCACCCATGGCTCACTTTGAGGACTAATTTTCTTGGCATCTTTAATGTTGACCTGAATGAGAAAAATGAGAACAAGTTTAGTCAGTGGATGGCAATGGACTAGCATTTCTAAGGCTCTGAAAGACTCAAATTTAATGTGACCCAGATCACATTTGAGAAATATTAGAGAAATATTCCATCACAGGAAAGATGAAATTTAAGAGAAACATTAAACACAAAGCAGAGATACAATATGGGCAGGGCCAGGATGACCCAGTGGTGTACTATAAACAATGACATAGAGGAAGCTAAGAGTTAACAACTGAAAGATTATTATCACACAGGCGATTTCCCAATTCTCCTCAGGAGAGTCCTTGGCATTAACATGAGTGGACTAGATGGATTAGCATCCAACTGCTACCAGAGCTGACAGAGGAGGGCACTAAAACACAGTATCTTTCCAGTTTGTTGGTTTGGACCTCACAATATATCTCATTGTATTATATGAAATGATACATCATGGATATCCAAAACACCAAGCAAGTGCACACCAAAATCAAATACAGAGATTTATGTTTTTATTTGTATCAATCACATTATTAATGATGAGAATGAATGTCATACTGATTGTTAATAACACAAAACAAATGACTACAAGTAGAAACTTACCAATGATATCATTTGCATCAGTTGAGTTTTTCCTGTGTGTGTGTGTATTTTATTATTATTTCTGGTTTTACCAGAATGCTTTTGGTCCTCTTTATATCTACCCTCCACTCCCTCTCCAGGACAATTAAGATACTCATTTTCAGCTTTAAATTCCCCATCTTTAACTTCAATTTTTTTCATTATAAGGAAGTATAGCCACATGACAGAAAAATGTAGAAAACAAATTCTCCCTAAAACCATGAAATCCATTTTAAATTTTAACGTTTTGAGTTTTTACCTTTATGCTTAAAACAAAGTAAGTTAAGGTCAGTGTATAGGCAACTTAATGTATCACTTTTTCTCCTACTGATATTATAAATATTTCTCTATAGTATTTGCCTTTGGAACCATAATTTTTAAGGGTTACAAAACATTCCATTTGTGGATACACCATAATTACCTGTTAGGAATTTAAGTTCCAATTCTGTACTACAAATGAGCCTGTGGTAACATGCCACGTCCAATGCTTCCACAATTTTTTTTTACCTGAACACCAGTGACCAGGAAACTAAGGGTTTAGCCAGAAGCAATTATCTGCTTTTGTATAACTCTGTTTTATCTTTAAAAATGGGTGCAATTTTTACATTTTTAAGCACATAATTTGTTACTATGGTTAAGAATGATGTATTAGTTAAAAGTGATACTCCTCTCTTGCAGTCAGTTTCTAAAAAAACTGATGTTCTAGGACAATTTACATATTTATCTTTTAGATTCAATGGTCCCTTGCCCAAGTATTCCAACTTGGGCAGTTTCAGGGTCGATAGCTACTTCCATACTCCAGATTATTTCCTTAGTACAAATTCTCAGGAACAGAATTCCTGGGTCAACGGTGTGACCACTTTTATCATTTTAATTCATCTTTGATGACAATGATTATTATTTAAAAGTTCTGGCTAGTTTTGAAGGCAACAAAAGGTTTGTCATTCTGATTCACTTTTTTGAGGGGGGATTACTAATCATTTTTAAAAGCAGAATCATTTTGTTTTTTTTCCTTATTTTTTTTTTTTTTGGCCAACAATACCATTTTTTCTTTTATGAATCAGCTATTTCTGTCCTTTGTCTCCAAATGAAGGGATCATGGCATTATGACATCTTGGGTTAGCTACATCTCTGATTTCATCTCTTCAGATAGATATTCAAGAGTTAATTTTTCTTTTTTCAAGAAAAGCAGTATTTGATTGTTAGTACAATTATAACCCAGAGTGATTCCAACCCAAAACTTGCCAGTTGCGTCATATCCGAAACAGAGCAGCTGCATTTTTGGTCACATTATGGCATTCTAGTATTTTTGTTTCTCCTACAGAACAAAACCAAACCCCTAGCTTACTGAAATAGTATGTGCCAACACGCAGAGCCAGGGCCATTCTTCTGCCCAGATACACACAATTCTGCCCTATTTTCTTTTCTAAGTTCTGATTCCAAATTTATATCCTACTAATCATAAAAATCAACATTATGTGTAAAACAGAACCTTTTTACGGCTTACCTTGTCCATGTCTATTAATGTGACAGGAATGTTTCTTCCAACTACCACCATCACTGTGCGACCACAGTTATCAACACCTGCGAACAGGAAATGTGATCAGCGCCCAGAGACTTTATTCCAAGACTGGACTCTAATGTTATAAAAATATTCTACACAAATATAAAAGACTGCATATCAAGAACTTACGTTTTTTAAATTTCATCTTCAGATGTCTTTCACTATGTGGAAAACAATACTTTTTTTTTCTTTAGCTTCATGAGGTTTTGATGACTGCCCTTACTTTTAAGATAAGGCTTCTTACAGGTTTTAAATCAGGGACAGCCAAAGTTAAGGCTGCAGGGCATAAACCTTTTTATAAATAGCTTTTCGTTTAAGTTCACTCCAACTTTTAATAACATTAGTGATCCAGGAAAAACTACTTGGAACTCAACTCTGAAAATAAACAAGTACTGTCTGAAAAAGAAATTTAATGCAGAAAAGAATGGAAATCTGAGAACTTTCACCATCTCCATCATATATTTATGTAAGGTTTGAATTTTGTATAGCAAGTGGGTGACATTTTTAAAAGCAGAAAAAAATGTTAAAAAAGGTAAGAAAAAGGACATTAAGAAGAAATAAAGTTGGCCAATGTAGAACTACAAGATGAAAATTTGTAGGTTGAGATGTTATTTTTACGATCGTGATGATGAGCAAAAACTATCCCCATTAGTACAAAAACATTTTTTTCATAGATAAAATGAACAAAATCAGAGAAAAATGAAGTTTCTAACAGCATGCTAGGGAGGGTCCTTAATTAGTAAAAGTTGCTATGTCCTTAAGCTCACCTGTTTGGTATAAGGCTTTTAGAGAAGCAATATCAGATAGATCCTCAGATCTTGCTTGACATAACCAGCGATTATAACTAGAGAAATAAAGGACATAATTATTATAGTAACTCCTTGTAAATTAAATTTACAAATGGAATCTGTTTCTATCTTTCCCTAAAGAATGAGATTTTGTTGTAATGTGCAAGGAGTTAAGGAGGTCATTATATTATGCAGAATCTCCACTAATGTGTTATTGATAAAATAAACATGAATGAGTTACTGAGTAACTAAGAGAGGAAGGTGTTCATACTAAATGATTTAAAAAAATCCTTTATGATCAAGTGAAGACTACTCATATTAATGGCAAAGATACCAAGTACTCCAATGAACAGTTTTCAATATTATCTTCCTTTACTAAAAAACATGCAAAGAGAGAAATCCTAAAGCAAAAGCAGTTATCTAGAAGAGATGTTCACTCATCCAACAATGACTTGGTATTGAGAATCCTACAGTGAACAGACATGGTCAGTGCCCTCAAGGAGTTTACTTTTTATAACAAAAACAGGTAAGTGTTGAACATGTTATGTGGACCACAAAGGAAATAGGTAATTTTATGCAGGAAGTCCAGGCTTATTTAATGATTAATCAAGTCAGTTGCACTGATAACGCATATAGCGGATCCTAGGGACTACAGCTTGACTTTAGCTAAGAAGGCATTAAAACTGGAAGAGAGGACGTCTGGGTGGTTCAGTCGTTAAGCATCTGCCTTCGGCTCAGGTCATGATCTTGGGTTCCTGGGATCGAGCCCCGCATCGGGCTCCCTGCTCAGCGGGAAGCCTGCTTCTCCCTCTCCCACTCCCCCTGCTTGTGTTCCCTTTCTTGCTGTGTCTCTCTCTGTCAAACAAACAAACAAACAAACAAACAAATAAATAAATAAAAACTGGAAGAGACATTAAAGATCTCAAAGAGGGTAAATGACCTGCAAAAGGTTGAGCTAATCTTAGTTACCAGCCAGTTATTGGTGGAGCTGAATTTGAAGCTGTACTCAGATCTCCAGATTTCTGAAAAGGTCAGTATTTTCTACTATTTCATACCACTTTCTTAGAATTCAAAGGGCCACTTATTTGCAAAAAAAAGCTTTCAAGGCACTGGAATGCATGAAAAGCAACTTTGAAGCATCTAGGTCACATAGGGCAACATACCATAACATAAGGAAAACTAAACCAGGAGAGAGGGAGACTTGGTTTCTAATCCTATCACTTTCTGTGCAACCTTAGTAAATAAAGCTATTTCACCTCTATGGACCTGTTTCCTCATCTGCTAAGTGGTGTTTATGTAGAACATTTTTCAGCTATAAAGTACAATCACATAGCTAAGGATATTTAATAGGAAGCCTATTACATTTGGATTGTAATGAACATGTGATGATAAAGCCTGCTAGTATCACAGAAATTGTTACTGCCTGTGAAAAAAAACGCTTGGTATCACATAGTTCCACAGTTTTCCTTTTTAAATTTGGAACCTTGGGGCGCCTGGGTGGCTCAGTCTGTTAAAGAGTCCGACTCTTGATTTCAGCTCAGATCATGATCTCAGGGTCTTGAGATCAAGCCCCAAGTTGGGCTCTGTGCTGGGCATGGAGCCTGCTTAGGATTCTCTCTCTCCCCCTTGCCCTCTACCCTTCCCCACTTCTCTAATTAAAAAAAAAAAAAAAAAGGAAACTTGCCCACCTATGTAAACTGAAAAGTCAAAGAGAAACAGCTTTAAATTTTGATTTAAGACACAATTTGCAAGTCAAGAGAAGACCTATGTTTATGGTAGTTCTCCTTATCCATATGTTGCGTTCCATATTTTTACACAGAGTCAATTCCTTGGTTATTCACACTAAATCCCCAATCGTACTGTTTTCTAATTATCTTGTGATTGAATCATCTTCACAACAAGACTGAACAGAATGCATCTTAAGTGGCTTATAAGCATCACAGGTCCTAGCACAAATCATGTAACAGGAATTCAGTAAATGTCTGTTAATTTCTATACTCCATTCTTGAATTCACTAGCTCATTTTTCAAGGGTGTACTGTGTTCATGCAAGTGCCTGCATCATAGTATGGACTCAAATCTTTGTTTAATGAAATAATAAACATGAGTATTATTCAAGATATTTTGCAGGGCATCTGAGAATAATAAAAGGTCCTGGCTTCAGAGTTTAAAGTTGAACATATCAGATAGATACATAAAGAATTAACTCTGTGGTAAAACAAAATGAAACAAGCAATCCAGCAGAGGTCTAAATATTCTATCAATATGCTGAGAGGAGGACTGGGAGGAGTAGGGTTGGGAGGGCAGAGTGAGGGGGAGTGGAGTGGAGGCAAGGTCCAGATATGGAGAACTAACTGCTCCTCCTTCTTTGCACCATAAAGATTTGCACAAGGCTTCACCCACTTACGGCCAGCTTGTTTCTACTCTTAGACAACAAGATAGGGAATACATCTTATTTGTCTCTATATGTCCAGGCAATCTATAGGGTTGCTGCTGACGCTGAGTAACAATGTGTTCAATGAACTCTGAAAAAATTTTTTTTCGAACTGAATTCAGGTGCACAAAACAGAATTAACCTTGGTTCAAAACACGCTCATCATGGGTACACACATGGTTTTTTTTAAAAACTAGTTATCTAGGGGCGCCTGGGTGGCTTAGTTAGTTAAGCATCCGACTCCTGATTTCTACTCAGGTCATGATCTCAGGGTCGTGAGATTGAGTCGGAATCCCGTTCCACCCTCAGCAGGGAGTCTGCTTAAGGTTCTGTCTCTCCCTCTGCCCCTCCCCCTGCTCTCGGGCACACTCCCTCCCTCTCTCTAAAATAAATAAATAAATCTGCAAAATGTTTAAAAAACTGGTTACCTAATTAGTTATTTTTATTGAAATAATAAGCATTCTGAAACTTACTGCCCTAAACAAAAGCTACCACCCTCGCAAAAATCTCTCTCTAATCACGCGGTCATTCCCCTTTAATTCCAGCCCCTGCCCCCATAACCAGTCTCTGGAATTGCCCATCCATCATCTTCTTGCTTTCCTTTTTATATCCTTTTGGTTCATCTGATGTATTCCTAAAATGTTTTTTTGAAAAAGCTTATTATACTGTATGTAATCTTTTGGGTTTTACTTGTTTGACTTACTAGACTGCTAAGATCCATCTATATCATTGTGTGGCAATGTTGTTCCTTCACCTTGACAACTATATGATGTATCTGTACCATATGAAAACTATAGTTTTTTTCATCCACTCTCTTACTGGTGGGCACCTGGACTGTTCCCAGGTTTTTGCTCCTGTGCATAGTGCTATGATCAACTTATTTAACATATTTCCTGGTATATGTGTGCCTGACTTCTTCAAGTGCTAGGATATAGGTATATTCAGTTTTAGGAGATAAGACCAGACCTCTTTTCCAAAGTGCTGTACCCATTTATACTTCTACAAGCAATGAATATGAGATCCTGTGAATCCATGTCCTCAACACTTGGTATCAGCAGATGTTTTAACTTTTGCTTATCAGGTCTGAAATGGTATCTCATATCTCTGGTCACTAATGATGCTGAGATCCTGTTTATGTTTGATGGACATGTTTCCCTCCTCTGTGAGATGCCTGTTCCTATTCTTTGTTTTCTATAGGGCTATTTGTTCTTTTCTCACTTACTTGTAGGAATTCTTTGTATATTCTTGATAGTAATCATTTGCCAGTTATGTTTACTGTGAATACACCCATTCTATAATTTCCTTTTCACTTTCTTTAAGATTCATTGCCCCACTTAACAAAGTTCTTAATTTTAATATAGTCAAAGCTATTTTTTCTTTTCTAGTCAATGATTTTTATATCCTGTTTAAGAAACCTGTTACTTTCTCCAAGGTATAAAAGATACTAGTTTACAACTTCTTCCATGAGTTTTAATTAAAAAAAATAATTAAGTCCTTAATCTATCTAAAATTGACTGTAGTCCATGGTGTGAACTCTGAAATAGCATGAACTCTAAAATGTTTTTAACCTTGATCTGTGATTAACAACTTGAGATCCTAGAATAGATTCTGGTTGGCAAAAGCAACATCCATATGAGCATGTTCAAGGGGAGAAGGCCTATAGCTTACATGAGATTCTTAAAGGCTTTATGATTCAAAAAAGGTATAGTATCATTGCTGAGACAGTGGTGCTGCTCCAGTTCCTAAGGATTGTGATGAATTCCAGGGCAGCAACTCAGGACTGCCATCTTCATCTGTTTCTTCTTTATTCTTATTAAAGTCTCCTCCATTCCCACTATGGATCATGTAAGTTTGATTTGACTATCTAGTCAGTTTTTTTTCTTTTAAATAAGTATATGGGAGAAGGGAATAAAAGCAAAAAAATGTTAGCTTTATCTCCTCAGCCAGTAGAGAAACAATGCTTCATTTCCCTCATCTATTCAAAAAGTATTTTAAAATTTCCATTATATCTCTTAGAAACTGCACTTCATTTTTTATGGTCGTTTCTGCATTTTATTTCAATAAAGATATATAACCTTTTATCCCAGTCCAACAATCAAAAGCTAAAAAAGGAAAACATCAAATCAAAATAGTTTCTTGTTTTCTTAGAGCTTATTCCAAATAAACATTTCTATTACTTGTTGGGTAAGCTATAATAATCATAGGTAAACAGTCACACAAAATATTTTGGCAAAATGGCAGCAAAGGTAGCCACTACAGAGCTCTGAAGGCAGAAATACTAAGTAGACAAGTTTCTCAACAGGCTGCAATCAACTAAGGTTGGTTGCTGTCCTCACAAAGCTAATAAAAGGCAATTTCTTCCAGTTAATCAATTACTGTCTGCATGCATAGCCACAGGTTGAATGATGAAGAAAATTTACTCTAAAAACTCTTAAAAGACTAATGACTAACCTATTTGTGTACAACCAATAGCCTGGATTTTGGAATCAACACAAGTTTTTCCTGGCCTGAGGCAACTGCTCCCCACACTGGACCTAGTTAGGACCCTTGTATACTTATTGCATCCTGTAATTTAAAATAAATTATTCATATAATAATTAGTTTAACATTTCTCTCCTCTGCA